CTCATGAAGTTCAACAAGGCCAAATGCAGAGTCCTGCACATGGATCAGGGCCATCCCCAGTATCAGTACAGGCTGGGGGATGAAGAGATTGAGAGCAGCCCTGCCTAGAAGGACTTGGGGGTGTTAGTGGATGAAAAATTTGACATGATCCAACAATATGCACTCACAGCCTGGAAGGCCAACCATATGCTGGGCTGCATCCAAAGCAGCGTGACCAGCAGGTCAAGGGAGGGGATTCTCCCCCTCTGCTCCACGGTGGCGAGACCGCCCCCGTAGTACTGCCTTCAGCTCTGGGGTCCTCAGCACAAGAAGGACATGGACTTGTTGGAGCGAGTCCAGAGGAGGCCATGAAGATGATGCGAGGGCTGGAGCACCTCTGCTGTGAGGACAGGCTGAGAGAGCTGGGGTTGTTCAGCCTGGAGAAGAGAGGGTTCCACAGAGACTTTATTGCAGCCTATGGCACCTCTGCATGCTTCAGTTTTGTGGGGGAAGAAGCCCATTTTAAGTGAGCATGGTAATTGCAACATGAGAGCTTGAGCATATTCCATCCAATTAAGCTACTGATGAAGTGACAACTATCAAATATGTTTAAATTAAAAAAATTGAGAAGCTATAAAACAAGGTCAACCTTAAGTACCATCTCAGGCACATAAAGCAGCTTGGGTAAAATCCATGCATTTAAAACAAAACACCAGTGGATTTAGTGGACTGAACTTAATGATAAGATTAGAGATACTCAGTTCTAAAATTTAGCTTTAACTAAGCTTTCTGGGCAATTTTTGGCAAGTCAAAAGGATACTTAGGAAAAAAAAGCGTTTTAAATAGAAATGCTATCATTTAACTTTAGTATCTAATCTATATTTCACTGCATGCCTCAGATTAACTAAAAGTAACCATTTCACTTTCCATGTGCTGCTGACTAAGTACTGCATGGGCTGTTACTGAGGATTAAGCAGTGCATGCATGTGTCAAATTTCCCTTACAGAAATTCTTAGGCTGTCCCTTTGACTAGTAATATAGTCTTCAGACAGAAGCATACAGGTGTGAAGCAGAGGTGTGGAAGACAGAAGAAAGCAGACAAAAGAGAAATTTAACTCACAAAAAACTGCATATGTTGTTTTTCTTATTATCTTCTGAACAACAGATTTTGCCAAAACTGTTTGCCAAGCTCCTATGACCCCAAATTTCCTTATAAAAGCAGCTCACTCACCACTTCAGTCATACTTACACTCCACTTCTCACACAAGTTACAGAAGTAATAAGGGATGATCTGTCCAACTTCAGGAACTTTCAATCAACCTTACAAGCCATGTGTTTCCAAACAATGTAATCACACTGCCCTAAACAATAGCCTCTCAAATTAAGATGTACAGTAATACTGCAGCACATCTTTTATAAGAGAAGAGCTAATTTTATTAGGAATTTTAATTTCTATGGTGGAGTGAGTATTACCTTCAAGAGCATACACAACCTACCTTCAGGTCTTCATGCAGAAAGCAAAAGGAAGTGGGCTCTCACCATTGTTTACTGATTTAAGTGAAATTTTTAGGTGCTCATGAGAGTTGGGTGATCACTTTTTCCTCTTTCTGTAGCTTCTGTTCAGTGTTCTGACCAGATCTGTTCAGAGTTTCTGTTCACTGTTTATTCTTTACTTCAACAACCTCCATTTATCTACCCACTGTTCTTACTTTATTTCTCCACTAAAATGAACATTACTGTGCTTAACTTCCTGTAATAATTGAAGCATCATTTTCATAACAATACGTTAATGCGGTTATTATTGCAGGGTATCTGAAGACTCAGATAAAACAGCATTGTACCAGATGCAATCTGTGTGCTATGTTTCTTCTGCATCCATGAGGTATAAAGTCTAAGCATAGCATTAAAACAACAAATTTCTAGATTCTCTGGGTCACTCAAACACTTTGTACATGTTAGTACTATGCGCTCATTAGATGACTTCAACATGTGTATGTTTATAATACAAACTACTACTGTGTAAATGAGTGACTGCCTAAAAAGATAAAAGAGTATCTTACCTTACTTGAGCCTCCACTGCCTATTTGCTTTAATATTGTATAAACTCTTCCTTTGATGGCGAGACATTCATGTGAAGGTAGAGAAGCTGGAACCTGTGTACGTACAGAAAGAGTTAAGAAAATTACTACTGGTATATCTGCAGCGGAACTTGGTAGAGATCTACTTTTTATTAAGTTAATATGCTTTAAGTTGTCTTAGTCTTTCCAAACAAATTGAAGTGTAGTAAAGCTAAGCTTTAAATGAAAGCTGAAGATCCCATAGCAAAAGCATCTGCATAATGATCATCACTTGGCACGCAGTATCACTGAACTCTTAGAAAAGATACCAGTGCTCTTCACACTGGAAATCAAGAAAAGGGTGTTCTTTAATAAGGCTTCTCAGATCATTAGAGACACCTCCCTCTTTACAGATAACGTTGGAAACTAGATTGAAACAGACACTTTCAGTCACAGTATGCAACTAAGAGCTGTACCCAAATCATCTACTATTTTATTTGGAGCTAACGACTAGCTAGCAGATGTCAGTGCTGTCAAGCTGAAACAGCCTGTATTGCCTGTACCTGCTACACCAAGCTGTAGAACAGCCACAAATTTCTAGTATCAATCCTCTCATAGAAAGTTTAAACCTATCCCCCAATTCTGTCTACAACTGGAAAGATTCCTACCGGAATGTGCAACCCATCTAAGGTAATCTATTTTCACATGAATTCAGGCCACTACAAATGCATCAAAATTCATGAGATCTAACAAAATGGAGAAGGAATGTAATTCTTCATTTGTTTACCTCCCTCAGACTCATGGTTTTTAACACACACTGCTTCTCTTTATGGGTACTCCACTGTAGTGGGTAGTACCACTATAAAAGCATAGCAGAACAAAAATAGTGACTAGTTCTTGCCTTGTCATGAAGTAGGATCTGAAAGGACTTAGATTTCAGAGGTAAAGGCTTCAGGATTTTGACACAACTGAACTGATTTTTCAAGAGCTAACTTATTTTACCTCAATTCAGACATATGTATAAAGAAACAGTTATTTTGAGAGTAGGCAATACAGACTACTACCCATTACTCATCCAGAAAAATGAACAGCAACTTTAGATTAAAAAAAATATACACATACATGCATATATTTAACCTAAAGAAGTCTCCAATGAAAATATGTACTAAAAAATGGCAGAAGACAGCCTAAAATTGTTACCTGCAAGCCACCTTGATTTTGAAATGGAGTTGCTGGAGTATGTGGTAGGAAATATGGGAGCTGGCTGTAGGGAGTAGAAATTTGACATCCTGGCAGAACATTGTTCTTTACAACTGGCGTTCTGAAACTAAAGGAAATTATGAACAATATCTGCATTTAGTTGTGGGTTTGATTTTTTTTAAGATTATTCTAACACAGGTGAAGCCTTCAGTGCTTCTTGAAAGTTAAATCCTATTGACTAGCAAAAGCCCAAGCCTCTGCTACATACAGTAATTAGCATTAAGGCCACTTCAGCTTCTTCACTTAAAAGTCCTTTATAAGTACACTTAAACTATATCATACTTAGAAATATTTCCTAAAACAGTAACTAATTAAATCCCCATCTCAGATACTAGCTGGCACTCCCCACAAACAGAAAAGTGAAATAACATTTAACTAGAAGAGCTGACCGTAAGACAGCAAGATAGTCTGAGCCACAGTTAGTTTTCTTCAGCTTATGGTTCTTTATTCTAAAAAGGTTTTGATGGAGAGACTTTTTTTTTTTTTAAAGTCAGCATATTGAGACAAACAACTTCAACGCAAGAGGGGGTTTTTTGTTTTGTTTTTTGGTGGTTTGGGTTTTTTTTTGAGAGCGCTTTATCTACGCTGTATATGAGTGGAAAGATCATGTATTTAAGAAAACTAAAGATTGCAAGAAATTCTTTAATTTTTTTGGTTTGTTCCCTTGATGTGTCTATCATATATTTAGTTATATACCAAATATACTTCCCCCCCCCCAGTATTTACAGAAACTGATGCTAAGATCAGAACTGGAAAAGAATTTATATGCCTAGGACTTTTTTCTAGAGAATAAAATGACAAAAGTTTAGAAAAAACACAGTCAAAACTGGTCAAAAGCATGGTTCTCGCTGAACACACACACAAAAAAAATCAAATTCTGCATATTTACCGTATGCCATACATACTGTGTGTAATGAGAATTTAATTTTTTAATATTTCCATATTGTCAAAGTTTGAAAGAAGCAAGAACATAATCTATTCAAGGACTACTTTTATCAAGTTCCATCATAAGATGATGTGCTTCGCTCACTACATATATTCTAAATTCTACAGAGGCAGAAGTCCTACCAATAGGAACAGTGCTTACTCATCACAGCCTTGACCTATATGATTCATCCTAGAGACTTATGAAAATAGTAATCATATAATTAAGAAAGATATATCAACACATGGACAAGGGTTTATGCCTAGTTTAAGATTGAATGGATAAACAAATGCTAGCATTTCCTAACTTGAGTGCTCAATTCTGCAAGCCTCAAAAAAAAAAACCTGTAAGGAAACTAAACCCACAGACACTTGCATCATGGGAACTAGACTGATATAATACAGTTATCAATCTAAAAACCCTGTCAGCCACAAAAAAACAAAGCATCCAGAAGAAAGTATCACGTAGCAGGGATCAGAGAAAGAGGTAAATCCTGTAACAGGGAGTTACTGATTTGATGGTGTACTTCTAAATGCTGAAGAGCTGACAGGGAAGACAAAGTTCCCTAAATGCAATCTGAATCTTAAGTCAGGCATTTGACATCAAGTGTTGGAAGCACTTGCAAATCTTGTCTGCTGTCTGAACAGCAAAATTTAAGAAACCCTGTTAAAAACTGCTGAAGTCTTTCCAGAGATCAACTACTGTTCATGAGTGTACAGCTCAAAGAAGTGGCTTACCAGTCCATATAATCATTATATGTGGTGCTTGGTGTTCCACAAACATGCGATGGATCATGTTTCTTAGAAACAGCATCTGGTGGTGATAATCCTTTTGAAATGGGATGACCAGATTGTTCAAGGTCCCTACAGAGAACAAAGCAAGATATTATTCCACACAAGGAGCCACAGTTAAGAACACAGAAATCGTATTCTTATTACTTTACCTCTCTATAAGAGCTTTTCTGTGTCACTTCTTGAACTGGCCATTTTTTTCTGACGGTAACACAGTTTAGTTTAATCTTATCCAACTGCTTTCTATAGCTTTCACCAGAACTAGATTGCTGCTGTTGACTTCCCAGACTCCTTGGCTCTGGTACCTTCAGCTCCTCATGCTGGACTTTATTTTCTGAAAAAAATCATATAATGAAAAAGACTTGATATTTAGTACTTGAAACAATTTCTGGCAGATTTATCCCTCAGTTTCTAGGAGAATTTTACCTCATTTTCTATAATAAATACCTCACCTCCAGAATAAATGAACACAGTTGACTTACTGGAATGAGGCATTAAAAGGCATTAACGTAAATCTTCAGGATTCATATTCAGTTCAGTATAGTAACATGGCAACTTTTTTCAAAAATCTTAGGATACTATTATAACAGTAACAGAGACACAACTGTTTCCTTCAAGCAACACACAGAACAAGATCATGTTTGTAATTTGTACTACAGCATCCTGGGACACTGAGCAGGTTTATAAAGCATCGAAGATAAGCTTATTGCAATGCTTCAAATTAGAAGTCTGTTGTCTGTGACAATAGGCAACCTATAACCCAGTGTAATGACTGAAGTTAGAGGCATAAAGGGACAAGGCATGCTCCATCTCATGGTTCCTTTGACAGAGGTCATAGGACATTGAACTGGTAGAAGACTGCAGGGCAGGTTGCAAACAGCACAGCCTAGGACTGTTCCTTCAGATGCTCATTCAGTTTTCTCAGGGGGCTAGAAAGCAGTATTCCGTGCTAAGCAGGAGTTGGGTGCAATTCAGCTACCGAAGGACTGAGCGACTGCAACCAGCATCTCATCTGGAAGCTGGCATGAAGCACAAACAGGGAAAGTATGACCTGAAACCCAAACTGTTCCCAATGCAAGGCAATGGGAAAAGTTTCGGTGAGGGGTTGAGGGGACACTGAAGTTGAAAAATCACCATTTTTCAAATGAAATCTGTTTCTTTCCTACAATAGGTAGGTATGTATATAATCCTAAATCCAACTCTTGCAATATTATTAGACATTTTCACCTAATTTTTTCAGCAAGATCAGAAATCAGAAAGCTGACTAGGAAACTAGATTTCTGATGAAACACAGAAATGGCAAGTAACTGTAAAAGATTAGTACACGTATTCCATATTCCATGGTGTCAGTGCTAAGTCATTAGCAGTAACCTCCTAAATTTTATAGCAAGAATTTCAGGGCTGGTAAATCTGAGCTGTTTAGAACATTTCCCAGAAAGACCACAGTGTAAGGTGATCTCACACCACCCCTATTCCTATGTCATGAGGTGACTTCACACAATAGTCAAACTCCATGCATTAGATAAATACCTAAGTAGAGCTTAGGTTATTTCTGGAATACACCAAAAAATGTCTGTTTCTAAAATAAGTTAAAAATCATTCCCCAAAAGTCTGTTAATAATGCAATAAGAATCTCAGCCATTCAAATGACAGCAAGACATAGAGTTCTTTAAAAAATAAAGTTTCTAAAAATTACAACACAGTTAAGGCTGAAACACCATGTTGCTTAAAGCAAGAGCATTTACAGTAAGCAAAAGTGTAACAGTGCATTTGATTGACACTGGAATTTAATAAACCTCTAAAGTCTACACATTTATTTAGTACAAGCGTCATTCACATGAACAAAGGATTCCTGCAGGACAAGTTCATAAATTAGATTGCATTGAGTATATGGAAAGAATGGTGAAAATAATTCAGGGTTTTTTGCAGGACATAGGAAAAAAAGGGGCAAACAATTTGCCTTTTGACAAAGTGTTTTCATACTTTTGGGAAACCTCATAAGAAAGTAATTATAGAATAAATAAATTTCTTTAATGTCATAACTTTCCCCAAAGATTAAGATGCATGCATATGCTGTGGTAAAACTCAGGGGAAGAAAATACTATATTACAACAAGTTAAGAAATACCCAAAGTGACACGAATTTAACATTTAGAAGTAAATGCGTGTAGGGCAGTGAAGTTGACCAAAGACAACAGATACTTAACAGATGAAACCAAGAAAGAGACAAAAGAAGCCTGACCAAAGTAGAAGCAAATTATTCAGATATGTGAACAATCCTAATATGAGAAATAGTCTCTGATATTTAAACAGCAACTGAAAAAGCTACCTAGTTTCATGTACTAATGGGTAAACAGGATAGAAAGCAGAGTACTGAAAGCAACAGATTACACGGATGTTCTGCATTCAGAGAGAATTCCAGGAGCTCTGAACTTCTTTCAAGTTAAAGACAGTGTCATGTCTCACCTTTTTAAGCTTACTTCAGCCAAAACAATCTCCGATTAAACTTCGACAAAAGAAGTTAGAGCTATGGCATCTATAGGGTAAACCAGGAGCATATACAAGAAGTCACAGGTGAAGCAAACTACTATAAAATATGAGTCCGTCTCAAAAAATCTAAACAGACTGTCCCTCAAGTACATCATAATCCTTAGTTTGAATTCCTCTCAGCCAACATACACCTTTTTTTTTGGTCTAAGCTAGCACTGTTATCTGATACTCTGGCAACATTTTTCTACACTCAGGCTGGCAAGTCTTAATCTGAAACCTTGCACTGTTGCTATTTCAATGCCTGTTTCTTAGGTACACTGTAAGAGCTGAGGACATAATGAATTTGCATTATACACTGGCATTTTACTTCAAGCCCAGCACTCCATAGTTTTGGACAGTGTTGCAGTGGGGATTTTTGTGTTTGGGTTTTTTTTTTTTCTTCTTACTACTTTCACAAGTATCACTCAAAAGCCAAATTTTAATTAAATGCTCCTCAATTCCAAGCAGACCAACTTTTTCACTTTATGAAGAATATTTTATTTAGCAATGCATTTTTTAAAAATACAGAACAGCAAATTTTCAATGCTTATTCTGTTTCAAACTAACACATCACATTAATAGTTACCTTCTCTTTTCATCGCAAGACTTGTATCCATTTTGGTTTTGAGATTTACAGCTGAATTGGTAGCCGTTTCTAAGCTGTTCTCATCCAACATCTGCAACTGTAAAGAATCTTTTTCTTGTAAGGACTAAAGAAAACAAAAAGCATCTCAAAAAGAATCAAAGGAGATCCCAAGCATAGGGTCCAAAAGACATTTCCTTATGATAATTAATAACCGACACACCAAAAAGCAAACATGCTTCAGAAAACAGCGCAGGGTACACAGACAAGTATTACTGGTACTATTTTTAGATCCATCAACACTCTGAATTTCCATCATACAGTTTCTTTAACAAAGACTTAAGTGCTTTCTATTTTTGAATTTTCTTTTGGGGAATACGGACACGTGACATGAAAATGCAAGGCAGAGCTCAAATTACTCTCTACCAAAAGCCATAATTTACAGCTCCACAGACCACCTAATGAACTCAATTGAACAGAGTACTTCCCATGATAAAACTCATGACTGCAGCTGAAAGAGCTCCTGTAGTCAAGACAAAATCTGTTTAGCCGCTCTTCATAGATCATATAACAGATTAACACCCTCCCATTTCTCTCATCAGGTACATTGTTCAGAGAAAGCTTTTTCTTAATGCTTGATTATCCATAACAATTTCCAAATTTAAAAGCCACAATGAACATTTCTATTCACAACTGGTTACTTAACATAAAGGAAAAATTCTACCTTATTTCTTTCTTGAATTGAAAAAAGTGTTATTATTTTCCTTTCTAGTACTGTAGGACAGCCAGGTAGAGGTCCTTATATCTATCTTTAAAAGATTTAAGTTACCTGTAAGTCTCCCAGGTCGTATGAATCACCCCCACTAGATTTTGGTTGTGATGGTGGAAAAGGTGCAAAGAAGGCTGTACATTTGGAGCTGGATATTTGCCTATTGAAATAACATTGTTAATTACATCACATGCCAACATATAACGTAGTGATCGCCTTCTGTGAACCAGATGAAAGAGGTAGTTGTGTGCAGACTTTTGGCTACAAGTTTCAGGTATACAGAAAAGCAGGTCTACTCTGACAGCCAAGTAAGAAATAATAAAAAACTGTAACCATGCCACAATCATCCTATGAAATGACAGATGACTTAATCGGTTGCCTTCCATAGAAAACAGTAATAAGCTACAGCCAGGATCCTAAACCCCAATGGTGTGTTCCAGAGTAAGTTTTTAAATACTTACAGAACAATACCATTATGTGAAATACTTTATCCCACTACTTTCACAGATTCAGAATATTGGGCTTTAACTTCTGAGAGGCTAAGTATGCAGTTTTTACTCTTTGGTTATGGGAACTTTGGGGGAGAAATACATTTCTGCATGATTTAATCACACAGCAACAGAGAAGGAAGTTAGCATAACAGACTTGATTAGGGAGGAAAAAAGGTTGCTCCTCTGTTTACTTTCAAGCAGTGCTACAGTCAGGTAACATGCAAAGTGCTACTTTAGTTGGCAGATTTTTCCACTGCTCAGTTATTGACAATAAAATGAGCATAACCACTTCCTTTATATAATCACTATCATATGGATGTCAAAAATGAGGATTTCAAAAATCTTTTGGAAGTTACAAGATTGCCTTATATCTAATTTTAGAAACTGGAATACACAAATGTAAAGTTATTTTGAACAAAAATTTTTTGCCTTACTCTCCATTTCTTTTGAGCCTACTGATTAGCCGGAGCAAAACACTGATCTTTGCCTGCTCTCATATAAAGAATCTGAGTAGTGATATAGGAAGTAGGTTATTGCAATACACATGGCAACTATAATGACTATTTGTCAATAATCTTTAGATCAATTTTAACATTCTTAACATCCAACATTTCCACTATCCAATAAAAACCACTGTTGAAAAGGAACATTCAAGTCTGTTGTGCTGTGGTAAACCAAATAACCATACCTCTTCATAACACTAGCTGTAAGTGGGACATCTGTCTTCACATCATCACCAGCATCAGTTACTAGTTTAACAGGAACCCTCCCAAAGGGGCAGGCCTAGGAGCAAATTGAAAGTTATCACATGTGTGAAGCAGAATGAAAAGTTTAAGATTTCAAAGAAAAATGTTACATGTTCTACCTGGTTAGATTTGTTTAGTGATCTTAATGGATTGTGGTAATTAACTAGAGCATCAAGTTCCTGTGACTTCTCCTCCCTGAAGGAAAAAAAAAAACACACAACTTTGTAGTGCGTGTTTGGTTTTAGCTTAAATGACATTTTAAGAAAATAAAAAAATCAAGCCATTACCCAAGCAAGAGTCTGGTAACAGTAGAAGAATTTTCACCAGAATCATTCCTTTTTACGCTTCTGTGATTTCCAGCTATGCTTTGAAGTCCAGACTCTTGTGTACTTGATACTGTAGGTAAATCAGAATTATTCAGATAATACTGCAGAATGTATTTATTTCAGGAGAAAAAAGTGTTCTTTCATAAGTGAAATTCAAAAATATGTACATTTGCAGTAGTCTACTATTAATAACATATATTGCTATTTTCTACTGATCTAGACAGATATTCTATAATTATATAAGATATGATAATTCAGATGAAAAAAGAAAAAACTCACTTACAACCAGAAGCAACTTTCCAGAATAAGCATAAAATAGCCTGTAACAATTCTTAAATATTTCAGCTACTTGTTTTCTACACAGCTATAGTTGTAAACTATGTTTAAACACATAGAAGGGAGATTCAAGATGTCCAGAGACTAACCAAAAAAATTTAACTTCTAATTGAAAAACCTCACTGTTCATTTTATCCTATATGCAGAAAGAGGAATACATGCACCAAAAACATTGGTTTAAACACTATCTTGGGGGAGTGAGGAAGAAACCCAGGCTTTCAAAGCAAGATGACTTTTCAAATCTACATTCTGAAATTAAATCTCTACTCCAAAACAGCATCATCCAAAGGATGCTTCTGAAGCTTGTGCCACAAGTACTCCTCAGGAGATTTAAAGCTGCTTACATTTGGATTGTTTTGTTGTTCATTCCAATTATTTACCAGCACATATGATGAGGACACCCACATCTAAATAACTATAATAAAAGCCAGATGAACACTGCCGTATGAGCTATTTCTAGTCCTTAATTTTTCACTAACTACTTATGCCAATAGATCAAACTACTTGGTTAAATAGAAAAAAAAAATACAACTGCCTCAATGTATAATGCAGTTCTAAGTTTTGTGTACTTAACACTGACACTGCACATGGCTTTGAATTAGCAGTTTACCGATCCAGTACCATCACCACCTCCTATACATCCTACACTTTTTTCTTCTTTCCATATACAAAGATTTTTTTTGCCCAAGCTTATCACTCAACTCTCACATTCAGCTGGTGATATACAATACTTGTATTCCTTCACAGTCTGAGACAGTCTATCTGCCTCTCATAATACTCACAACTACAGTTGGACTCTATGAGCTTAAGGGTCTTTTCCAGCCTAAATGGTTTTATGACTTACATTTAATTACTAAATTATTTTCTCCAACTAAACATGTTTGATTGCATCTGGTCTGTCAAATATTTTAGACTGCTGTGCATAAATCAAAGAGGGGAAGAAGGAATTAAACCAAAGGCTTCTAGACTTGCTGCACAGTTTTTATATTTGCATCACTACACTATAACGGCATATAACTTGTCAAAAGCTTTCTGAACAACCTTTTGAATCCATGAAGAAATTCATTTGCATATATAGCATTCCTGTTTTCAAATAAAAAGCTTTCAAAAGCAGCTTTTTTAATGGAAATACAAAACAGACAAGATTTAAACAGCTATACATTAAAACAGTCTCTATTGCTTCAGAAGGACCATACAAATTAAAGCCAAGTTCAGTGATTTAGGCCATGTACATCACTGAGTTTGAGATATTTCATATCTAGTGTTATTTGACTTTTAAACTTCTATCTTTAAATAACTGAATTAATACTCAGCATTACCTAATGTTACAAGCTCATACAGATGAAAAACTACATAAGCCTACTCTTCCCCAAAGTTCACTGCTTCCTAAATGGCAGACAGGCTCTTGCCATGTATTCTCTCATAGGTATTCCCTTAGCTTTGCAGGAAGTAAAGCCAATAATATCAGCTAGAAATTGTACAATCCACGAGGAATATTCCACAGGATATTCTCCTGTGGCACTTATGATGTCTGCATCTGATTGTTGGTAAACAGAATAGGACCAAAGAGAAAATTTATTGAAAAATTAATACCATAACTGAATATTATTGCAAGTATTGCCAAATGTTTGGGTTTTTTTCCCCACAGCTAGTGTTTCACATAAAGGTTGATTCAACAGGAGCCAGTCAAGTCTCAAACCACATTCCTGAAGACATACCCCTAAGGAAATGAAATCAAACATCTCTTGCACTGATTCTGTCCTTATACAAAGCAAAAAAATGGAAGGGTCCAACACCACTCTTGAAAGAGTTAGTTACGTGCACTTCAATATTTAAGTCAAATCATGTTTTTTTGCTCGGTTCTACTCCAAAAAAATCTCTCTTGAAAACCTCATGAGGTAACTGTTCCCTTATTGAAGATACCCAGCAATGAGTATCAGTTTTATTTCATGATATAGCCAGGCACTTCAATTTTGTTCTGATAAAGACATGGGTTTTGTCCATTTGTAAAATAAAGTTGAAATGGATTATTTTTCCTAGATTACACTTCACTGAAATGACTGCCAGAACTTCACCAGCCTGTGACAAGATACACCTCAAAGCAAGATGTGTGTATAGTCTAGTCTGTACATTTCAACTCTAATTCTTTTCTACCACCAGTAGCTCTTATTTCACACTTTCAGCTGCAAGTCTATTACAAAGTACAAATTCCTAATGACAGTCAGAGGAACACCCCCTGCAGAATTACAGAATCTACCATCTTATGGCTCCTGCAAACTACAGTCACTGCATTGAAAATGGAATCCAGTATTGAAGGACTAAGACTGAAAATATGTCTGGTTTAGACAATAGCGGTTTATGAATTCATATCTGGAAGAGACAAACATTAGAAAAGTTTTTTCAATTAGAATTACAACATGCATAAACTCAACCAACATTTTAAGAAATTGCAGTTACCTATGTTCTCCTTCTCTTCATCTGAAAGCAACTGCTTTTTTTGTGATTGAAGGTTTTGTAGTGCAGTTTCCAACATTTCTAGTGGAACAGCAGAGCACTCCACAGCTTTCTGAAGGAGCTGCTTACACTTCTTCACGTTTCCTAAGTAATAAGGCACACAGAGTTAGAAATCAAGGAAATTAAAAAAACAGTTACGCTAGGGCAACATGGTCTTTTTTTAAAGATGCAATTACATTCACGCTGTCTTATATTCACGTTGCATCATTGTCTGATTGCCTAATTGCTTATTAGGCACTTCCGCCCTTAGATATCCACTTTAAGGATATTGCCTGGAACTAGTTAGAAGTGAATGTCAGTCAATTTTGCACATGAAGTTGAACACAGAATCACAAAATATGCTTTATGAACTCACAAAACTGCATTCTTAGTTTGGTTAGTGTTACAGGAACTGTAATGAAACACAACAAATTCTAAAATCCCTTTTTTTCCTGTAGTATGAGCAAGGAAAGACCACCTTTATGGACTTTCATTTAGATCTGACCAGATACAAACATTATTACATATGCATTCTAAAACATCTTTAATGCACTTAATAGAAATTAAAGTTAAAAGCAGTTGTTGTTAAATCAAACTTCACTACTCCGAGCAGCACTACAGTTAAGGAGCTAAAAGGAATGGTATTGTTTCATTAGTTTTACACATTACTAGATGCCATAAACAGAGAATGAAGAGAACTGGGGGGAAGAGGGGATGTTTTAACAAAATATAATGAAAGTAATCAATTGAGATATATATGAGCATGTATGTACTCATACCACTATTAAAAAACCCTTAAGAGTCAAATAAGGGAAGAAGCGTACTGCAACTAAAAATCTTTTCCTTGGTTTAGAGAGCATCATGGCAAAGTGATACAATGCTTTGTTACCACTGTTAATGCCCTTGAAGTCCCAATGCCCTCCTTCCTCAGTTCCAAAGCAGCAAAACGTAAACCACTTTGTCCTTATAGGTGCCACATACATATGTAATTAAGTATTTTTTTATACTATATAATAGTATATTTCAGAGCTCCATAATGTCTCCAGCACTCAAAACTCCATGGATAATTGAAGTTAGATGTCAATGTCGCTTGCAGTTCAGACTCGGGGGGAACGGTGTGTATGTGTTACGAACCTATGCTTAAGTAACCTATTTCAAGAATATTAAATGGGTGATGTTGGACACTGAAGCAAGGAAACACCAAAATAAGATTGCCTAAGATTTCATTTCAATGTATTTTGTGCATATTTGTTATGATTTGTTTAACTACATAATCAAATGCTATTTTTCTCCCAAATCCTTAGGAAGTGGGTAGGCTTAGTATTTCTTTATAAGAATCCTTAACCAGCATTCTACATTTAGCTATACTTGGTAACCACACATTGCTTCAACAAGACCTGCTAATGAAAATGAAAGTAATTCCTCCTATTATTATGTGCCTCATTGAGTAAGACATAACATGACACGAAAACACCTGTATGGAAAATCAACTGCTCCATCCTTCTTAACAGATGAGGAACCAAGGCACAAAAGTAAACCCAGAAGTATCTGTGAGTTTCAATCAGTCCACTCCATCACAAACAAAAAGCCTGAATGATCCACCTAGAAATAACATTTTATATTATAGCCACAAGTAGAGTTTTATTTGTGGTCATGAGTTCTGAGCAATTCACAACAAATCTTGACTCAAGTACACTACCCAAGGCACACCAAAAGTAAGACAGACATCTCCCCACCTGGCCTATTTAAACGAAGTTGTATTCAGCATTTAAATAAAAACCAACAGAATGGCACCTTTATCGTGTCATTCCATTTTCAGGTCATGAATATTAGATCTATAAGGAAATCAATATCAATTCACCAACTATAACTTGCACTGCTGAAATCACCAGGACAAGGAGGTAACAAAGCACTACTTTCCTCCTTTCCCTCTGGCCTAAGCTGGACACAGTGCAAAATGAACAACACTTACAGTAACAATATACAACTCACATGTTACATTAATTCTCTTTGAAGCACCAAGCAGGGACACTATGGCTCCATACGCATTACCAAACATCAAATACACCAGCTCAAGGATAACAGATACAGATCAGAGAGCACACCAGAGATAAAACAAAGCCAATCATAAATGGCTTATTCCTTTGGGATTAGGACTTCATTACAGGTTGACTATTTGCTGTCTGAGAAACCATTGCACGAACACGTCCCATAGCTACGGGGTAATTAAATGCACAAGCGATTGTGATAGAAGGATGAATTTAGTCATTGGTAACCAGTAACAACATTTCTACACTTTAAACAAAATCTATTGTGTAATTTGAGTATGACACTTATTCAACAATATCTTCATTATTGCAGTCTTACTGCTTTACTATCTTTTTTTAATAAGCATACAGTGCTCACTAAACAACTTATAAACAGTAGTAAAAAGTAGTTAATAAATTCAACACCACAGGTTTATATTAGAACAAGATTGGTCAGATAACTGAATTATCTGAAACAGAAAAACCGGAATTTCAAGTCAAATACATGGATTTGTCTTCTCCCCATCCTTTGAGGGAGTCATAGTCAGTATCCTTCGTCCATCAATTAGTTTACATGGCACATATTTCTGAGGGGGATTTCCAGTGTCTTTCCCCCTCCATTACAAATAACCTTATTAGTTAAGAAAAACTGGAAAACCTGAGAAGACAAATGAGTATTTACTTATCAATTTTAATAAGATGGCTCTGCTTCATGAGACACACTTTGAATATCTAAACTGTATCCTAAAATACAGTTTAAAAAGTACTGGACCACTGGTAGTGGTTTCCTCTATAAACAGAAGTAAACAAAGAATAATATCTAGTAAGATGTATTCAGAATCCAGAGTTTAGAGTACACAGTTATCTCCTTTATTGTAGTTAATTTGGGGGAGAATTTCTCATACTAGGGAGTATACAACAGCTTGCATGCTACTGACAAAAACCATGAAGAAAAACAAGCCACAAAAAACCTCAAAATACATCCACGAAGGCTTCTTCTTCACAAGAAAATAGCTTTAATGGAAAATGCTTGTCTTTCTGGATAGAGCAAGCTGTTAAAAGGGAGGAGATAAATGGGGTGACATAGATCACTGCTCTAATCACCCATGAAAAGAAGATTAAAAAGACACCCAAAAATACAAACCTGTGGGCAGACAGCACAATCCTGCTACCAAGTACCAGGGCCACTTCCCCTAAACACAACAGGAAAGTAGTGACATAAGCCCAGGTGAACTTTGTGGACTGCTGGCCCAAAGTATTGAAGACCTATTGTTCTAGATGCATTAGACCATAAACTTATATAGTCTAAATAGTCTAGACAGAGCACTTGAAGAGCAAAAGCAAGAAAACACACTCATGAAGAGTTTAATAAGTGAAGGAAAGAGGTGAAAAAAAAAAAAAAAATAAGTGATGCAGAGACAATCATTCATCACCTCCTACCAGCAGACCAATGCCCAGCCAGCCTCCAAGCATCTGCTACTGTGGAAAGACTATCCCCTAGTTTTTTATTGCTGCACATGATGGTATATGGCATGGAATGTCCCTTTGGTCAATTTGGGTCAGCTGTCCCAGCTGCGTCCTCTGCCATCTCCTTGCCCACCCCCAGCCTTTGGGCGGAGGAGAGGCCAAACAAAACACAGAAATCCTTGACACTGTGCAAGCACTGTTCAGCAACAGCTAAAACACTGGTGTGTTATCAACAGGGTTGTAGTCACTGATCCAAGATGCAGCATCACATGAGTTCTTAAGAAAATTAACCCCACCCAAGCCACATCCAGTCCACCAAGGAACACAATAAAGAAGGGAACTTTAAAGGGAACTAGTATTTTTAAGAGACATTACCACTCTTGTATCAGAATGGCTTGTGTAAAACACTGCTGTATGGCACCATGACAAAGACTACCACTCTATTTCAATTACTGACAAACCACCCTCGCAACTGACTGGAACATGGCATCAATGATACTGCCAAAGAAGTCAGTCCACAGCATTTATGAAGCAACAGAAGATATGAACCATCTCCACTGTCCCCAGCATGAACGTTCAACAAGAGAATAGGAAACAGAAGAATCAATTAAAAGCCAATTGCTAGCTACTTAAGAACCCGAGTGACACAGGGGAAAAGTTAATTGTACCAAATTGCATGTTTACAGCATATTTTGATTTAATAAAAAAACCACACCAAAAAAAAAAAATCTACAGCTGCCATTTGGAAGGAGCCAGAATTTCTTCCACAAGCAAGCCGAAAGTATCTAAAGGCAAATTATCACCCAACTTTGAGCATCATTTTTCAATGCAGCAAGAGCCTTACTCATACCTCCCACTGTAAGATCTAAGCTTAGAAAAAAACCCAGAAATCACTGCCAATTTTCATCTTGTTTGAAAGTTATTTCTAAAAAGGAAAAACCTATTAAGAACTGTGTGCATATTTTCATTAGAAAATGAACACACATGTTCTCATTAATTTTAAATCAAAAAAGAAAATCCAGATTTTTCTTTTCCTGATTTAATACCTCTCAGTTTCCTTGAAAATTATCCGATAGAGCAGAAATTTAAAACAACAAAACCTAGAACAACACAGAACAGCAACACCAAACAAGTTTTTCTACACACCTTGTGATAGCTCAAACTGTGCAAAAGCCACGTGTACAAAAGCAAATTTCTTGCAGTTCAGCCTGGCCAGATGAAATTGGTCCCGTGCCTCCTCTGGATCTTGAAGACTGTAAAGACAGCAAATCAATAGTTACACGAGGTGAAGAGTTTGAGTAACAAGGATGAAGTTCCATGTGCTGTGTGATGGATTTAGATAATTCTGGAAAATCAATCCATCTATAGCTGAAATTTTTAGTCTTCCTTAGAGCCACCAATAAAGTACAAATAAGTAAACAGTCTTAAAAAGCTAATAATGGAACGATATCAAGCTGACCCTTTCCAAAAACCAGATTGTGCTCAAACCTGAAGAGAAAGATTAAAGACTCATTCTTGGTCACTGCTTGTATTATTCCTCAAAATATATAGATATTTTCCCTCAAAACACCCACTAACCTGTACAGAACACCCACCTGTAGCCCTTCCAGGCTACACGCTGACACTATCCAGAGAAAAAAAACTCCATTCTTCTAGATGCATCCACTCCTGTACTAAGGAGGTTGCAAGGCAGGAGGACAAGTGTGGAAAAACATATCATATTAATCAAGTCAGAAGAAATATTACATACACTGTTATTTATGTCCTGCAGCAATGCGATCACAAAGTTCCCAATCCATTACATTCAAGTAATACTGAACTCCACATTTTTGCTAGAGGTTATGAGCTTTTCTACATTGAAGACCTGCTGGAGCTGCACCCAAATGATCAGATTCCCTTAGCAGAGATGTAGGCCACTGAAGGAAGATGTTTCTGTTGGCACATCTATAATACCATACCTATAGAAAACTAGGACAGAAGAGCATTTATCCAATAGCTACCTCTATCAAGGGTTCTATCGGAACATCGACTCCTTACAAGGTGTGGGGAATTTATTCTGTTTTCCCCATACTCCTAGGCAACACAGTCTTATCAGTTAAATTTGGTAGCACAAGGTGGATTTAAGTCTGTTTTCTGCAGACACACCAGAAGCAGCAACGGCAAACATAGTATACTTCAAAAATGTAGATTGTGCCAAAGTCCAGACAATGTATTTCACATCTAATACTTTCTTTACTTTCACTAAATTTTAATCCTAGCTTTACATTCAGCCATAGATTGCTAAAGAAACACAATTAAGATGCTTGCACACAGTACACCAACATTTAAATATTCTAGAGGATCTACAGCTTAAGTAAATGTGCATCAAAATACAAAAGGTCTGAATCTATATCACTATGAAATAAATTAACATTACATTTCAATGGACTCCCTCTCCCTTTTTAATATTAAGAAAAAAAGAAAAAAGTGTTAAACACTTTTAGCAGCAAAATCCATAATCAAGAAAAACGAGTTTTTTTCCAAAATTCCACACTGGTTCAACAGGTAAACAAAAGTAGTACCTAGAAGCGGGGATAGCGAAAAATTTATGACAATGGCTTAAAAAAATAAGTACAGAAAAATTCAACATGAAAAGCTAAAGAGAACATATTTCCAGTAGAATTCTGCAGAATTAAGAATGAGAAAAGTCTCTATCATAGTTTAGGCATGTTACTGGACTCCAGTAAGTTCAATAAACTCAGCTCTGATCATCCAAAGCAATAGGACAGGCACAGAATAACCCATCTGCAGGCAAAGTCAGAGTAACAGAAATTAAGCTGTAACATGAACTACGTTCACTTTCAAAAAGCATGTTAAAATTTAAGTTCCCATAGAAAGCAACAACAACTTGGATAGCAATGCACAGAACAAGACCCAAGACTGGCAACAGGCATCAAGTGCCACACACTTGGTGGCACTGTGCTACAGCCAGAAGCACTACATGAAAGCAGACCTGGCATGCTTAATGCACGATACAGATAGTCACTCACAGATGCAGCCGACTGTTCACTTTGCCCATTTCAGAGCACATCCAAGGGTTCTTCAAATAACCTCAGTATCATAACAAGTCAAAAGGTTTTGGCATAGTCAGACTGCAGCTAGAGAAGATACCAGGACAATGGAGGTCCAGCGCCAAGAATGGAGTAATCCAGCTTTGATAAGAAGAAAACGTGTTGATGCTCATAGACACTAAAATCTCAAGCCATTGTCACAGCTTCTGAAGTTTGTGATGCTCCAAATTGCTTTTCCTGTTAGGTAGAACGTTTGGTAGAACAGCAAACAGAACTCTACTGAAGACCATCTTTCTTCCCTTATCAAAGGCAGAATCATCAGAGCACCTATGTATCAAAGTGTTACTTTACTTGCAATAGCTAAAAAAAAGTAAATCAGAAGCACTCTGTACATAGTACTAGACAAACTGACAGCCAGGAACAGAGACGGTGAGTATGAAACACCAGGGAAGCCTCAAACACCAAGATAATTACAAGCAACGAGTGAACATGCCACTCTCCATCACCTTTGAAAGGTCATGGAGAACAGGAGAGGTGCCTGAGGACTGGAGGAAAGCCAATGTCACTCCAGTCTTCAAAAAGGGCAAGAAAGAAGATCCAGGAAACTACAGGCCAGTCAGCCTCACCCCCATCCCTGGAAAAGTGGTGGAGCAGCTCATTCTGGATGTCATCTCTAAGCAGCTGGAGAAAAAGGTGGCTATCAGGGGTAGTCAACATGGATTTACCAAGAAGTAGTCATGTTTGACCAATCCAAGAGCCTTCTACAATAGCATGACTGGCTGGGTAGATGAGGAAAGAGCAGCAGATGTTGCCTACTTTGACTTCAGCAAGGGTTTTGACACTGTCTCCCATAACATCCCCATAGGAAAGGTCAGGAAGTGTGGGCTAGATGAGTGGACAGGGAGGTGGGTTGAGAACTGGCTGAATGGCAGAGCTCAGAGGGTTGTGATCAGCGGCGCAGAGTCTGGTTGGAGGCCTGTGTCTAGCGGTGTTCCCCAGGGGTCAGTTCTGGGTCTGGTCCTGTTTAACCTGCTCATCAACGACCTGGACAAAGGGACAGCGCGTACCCCCAGCCAGTTCACTGATGATACAAAACTGGGGGGAGCAGCTGATACATCAGAAGACTGTGCTGCCATTCAGAGAGACCTGGACA